GCAGGGACACGGTGGAGCCTCCTGGAACGAAGGACCTTTGTGACACTGCAGGGCCTTCTGGAGCCAATGGAGCCCTGGGACACTGTGGAATTGCCCTGCTCTGCTCTCCCCACTCCGGGGGTCGGGGGTTCCTCCCGCCCACCCCCGGCTGTCCCGAGGGCTCCCCAAATCCGCTGTGTCGTGTCCGTCCGTCTGTCCCGCCCAGCCTCCCGCGGCCCGGGCTGACAATGGAGGCGGCGGGGACTGACCCAGCAACACCAACCCCAGCGCGGGGGGGACCCGCATCCCCCCGCCCACCGCCGGGAATCCACCCTAGCTCCCCCAAAAACACCTCCCGGGGACCCCCAACATCCCCACAAGGGGCATCTGCGGCTCAACTTTGGGGTCCTGCAAGATCCACACATTCACCCCGCTACCCCCCAGGAAAAAACAACCCACAACCAACCGGGATTTTTGAGACGAGTTTCTTCCGGCCGATTCCCCGCCCGATGGGGCGGGGCGATCTTCTTTCTTTTCCCTTTCCTCCTTTTCCTCCCCCTTTTTCACGTGCTCCGTCCCGGTGGCCGCACGCGTGGAGCTCTCGGGTGGGTGAACGGGGGGGGACAGGGTGGGAAAGGGGGGAGAGGGGGAAAAGAGGGGCTGGGACCCCCAAAGGGAGCGAGAGGGAGGTGGGTCACCCCCAGACGGAGCCGGGAACGAGCCGGGGTTTGGGGGAACGATGCGAAAGGGGTGGGAGAGGGGGGATAAGGGGAAGTGGGACAGCGGGAAAGGGGTCCCTCGGGGTCCCTTGGTGTCCCCATCCCTTGGTCCCTGGAGAGGGGGGAGCCTGGAGAGAGGGAACCCCCGAGCCCCCTGTGCCGAACCCGCGGTGGGGGCCGTGATGTTGGTTGTGAATTCCCGCCGGGATCAACAAAGCCCCGCACACGTGGCCGCAGCTCTTGTGTTTTCTTGTGGGCAGCACTCGGAGCTCCCCCCACACTGCCCAAGCGCTGCTGCCAAGGCCCAGCAGAGCCCCCCGATCCCCCCAGTGCCCCCCAGAGCTGCGTGCGGGGGGTGGGAGAGAAGAGGAGAGCCGGGCTGGGCCCTGGGCAAGGCCGGGAAGGGGCAAGGAATGGCCCCGGGGCTGGGCTGGCGTTGGTGCTGCCGCGGGGCTGGGCCGGAGCTGGGAAACAGGGCCGGGAGCGAGAGGAGAGAGAAAGTGCTGCGGGACTGCAGAGCCGAGCCCCGGCTCCTGGGGGGGCTCTGGGGTTGGGGGGTTTGGGGTTGTTTTTTGAGGGAGAGGATGTTTGGATCTTGCAGGCACCCAAAGCTGAGGCGCAGGTGAGCCCTGGGGGGATTTTGGGGGTGGCCGGGAGGTGTTTTTGGGGTTCCTGGCGGTGGGCGGGGGGATGCGGGTACCCCTGCGCTGGAGGTTGGTGTTCCTGGGTCAGGCCCTTCATTGTCAGCCCGGAGCACGGAGAGGGGGGACCCCTGGGAGCCCGAAACGGGGAGCCCGGAGAGGGGGAAGCCTCGGGACCCCAAAGTGGAGAGAGCAGAGAGGGGCAACTCGTGGGAGGGTTATTTTGGGCTGGGTCGGGGGGGTGCTGGGGAAGGGGGTTCCCGAGGGTGCTGGGGCCAAGGAAAGCGGGGTACAGAGATTGGAGAGGGTCAAGGGGGACCCTGTGGCCAGGAAAGGGGGATCCAGAGGTCCTTGGTGTCGGGGAAAGAGGGGTGTCACAGAGTAGGGAGACACAGAATGGCAGGAAAGGGGGTTCAGGGGGTTCCTCAGTGCTCAAAACACGGGGGTCTGATGTTTGGGAAAGGCAGGAATGGGAGTCCAAGGGGTCCCTGGGTCAAGGTTAAAGGGGACCTGGGGGCTGGAAAAGGTGGGGTGTCTGGGAAAGCGGGTGCAGGAGGTTATTGGTGCAGGATTAGGGGATGTAAGGGTGTCCCAGAGCTGGAAAATGGGGTGCTGGGGGTTCCTGTGGCCAGGAATGGGGGCTCAAGGGGAGTCCCAGAGTTAAGGAAAGAGGGGGAATGTAGGGAGTAGCACTAGACTGGGTCTAGAGGGTCCCTGTGCCCAGCAAAGGGGGGTCCAGGGGCCTCCAGTGTCAGGGAAAGGTGGTTCATTGGGTGGGGAGACCCGAGATATCCCAGCAGGGGGTTCAGGGGGTCCTGGGTGTTGAGGAAAGGGGGTTGGGGACTGGGAGAGGTGGGACTGGGGGTCCAGGGGGTGCCAGGGTCAAGGCAAAGGGAGTGTGGAGTCCGGGAGAGGTGGGATGGCTGGGGAAGGGGGTGCAGGGGGTCCTGGTCTCAGATAAGGGGCTGAAGGGGGGGGGTCTCAGTGTACAGGAATGGGGGGTTCAGGGAGTCCCTGGGACCCCCCAAGACCCCCCTGCAGGAAGCACTGGGAGTGGGGAACTGGGGAGTCCCGGAGATTTGGGGGCTGGGGTGGTGCCAAGGTGAAGGAAAGGGGGGAACTGGGAGAGCTGGGAGAGCCAGGAAGGGGCTGCAGGGCGTGCTGAGGGGAAGGAAAGGGGAGCTGGGGGTGAGGTGACCTGGGATAGCTGGGAATGGGGGCTAAGGAAAAGGGGGATCCAAGGGCTGGGACAGGCGGGATGACTGGGAAAGGGGAGGCAGGGGGGTCTTGGAATCAAAGAAAGGGGGGTCTGGAAAACTGGGAATGGCCTGGCAGGGGGTCCCAGTGCCTGAGAAAAAGGAGTGCAGGGGGGTCCCAATAATAATAGGGAAGAGTAGGAGGAAAAAATGGAATGAGACTCCAAAGTGCTGATTTCCAGCAGCAGGAAGGCGAGGAGAGGGCAAGGAAGTGCCCCCATGGAATGGGATCCCAGAGCAGATCTGCTGGTCAGGGCCAGATTGGGAACTGGGAACAAGGAGTTTGGGAATTCAGAGCAGCAGGAGGGGGGTTGCCCTGCCCATCCTGAGCTTCCCAGAGCTCAGTTACTCCCAGTATGAGCCCAGTCACCTCCGGTATGAACCCTTTTATACCCCACTATATCCCACTTGCCCTCAACATGGTCCCAATTGGCCCCAGTGTAGTGCCAGTAATTCCCAGTGTGAGTCCAGTATGATCCCAGTCTCCCTCAGCAGGGTGCCAGACACTGCCAGTTGCCCCCAGTATAGACCCAGTCACTCCCAGTTGATCCCAGTTGCTGCCAGTGTGGTCCCACTCAGCACCAATATGGTACAGAGACTCCCAGTGTGGTCCCAGTTTCTCCCAGTATGATTCCAGCTGCCCCAGCTGTGGTCCCAGTCCCCCCAGTATGGTTCCAGTATCTTCCAGTTGATGCCAGTTTGCTCCCAGCATATGCCAAGAGGCTCCCAGTAACCCTCAGTAAGGTTCCATTCACACCCACTGTAATCCCAGTTGCTCCCAGTATGGTCCCAGTCAGCTCCAGTATGATCCCAGTCACTTCCTGCCGTTCCCAAAATGAACCTATTGTCATGCCAGTTCCTTCCAGTCACTCCCAGTATGATCCCAGTTCCCTCCAGCGTGGTTCCACTTGCTCCCAGTATGAAATCAGTCATTGCTGGGGGTAAGGTGAGTTGGGGGGGATCCCAGGGCCAAGGAAAGGGGAGGGCAGGGATCGGGAGAGGTGGGATGGGGGTTCAGGGAGAGCTTCTGCACGGGGGTCGCCGGTGTCGGGGAAAGGGAGGGTCGTGGAGGGGTTGGGAGAACGGCCAGAAAACGGGGTCCAGGGGGTCCCCCGGTGTTCAAAAACAACAACAACAAAAAAGGGGGATTCAGGATTCTGGAAAAGACAGGAATGGGGATCCAGGGAGTACCAGCGTCAAGGAAAAGAGGGGCCTGGGGGCTGGGAGAGGCGGGATGGCCGCGAAAGGGTTTGTTGCAGGGGGTCCTGGAGCTGAGGAAGGGGGTGAAAGGGAGTCCCAGTGCTGGAAAGGGGGGTGCAGGGGGGTCGTGATTCCCAGAAATGTGGGTCCAGTGAGTCCAAAGGTCAAGGAAAAGGGAGTGTGGAGTCTGGGAGAGGTGGGATGGTCGGGAAAGGGGTGCAGGGGGGAGAGATCTGGTGTAAAGGAATGGGGGGTTCAGGGGGTCCCTGGGACACCCCAGGGTTGCCCTGGAAGGATAAGCCAGGAGTGGGGAACTGGGGAGACCCAGAGATTTGGGGGTCAGGGTGGTCCCAGGGTCAATGGAAGGGAGAAACTGGAAGAGCTGTGGGAACTGGGAAGGAGCTTCAGGGGGTCATGGGGTCGAGGAAAAGGGGGCTGAGGCTGAGGTGATGGGGGATGACCAGCCAGGAATGGGGGGCTGGGGGTCCCAAGGGTGAGGGAAACAGGGCGATGCAGGGACTAGGAGAGGTGGGATGGTAAGGAAAGTGGGGGCAGGGGATCCTGGAGTCAAAGAAAGAGGGGTTTGGGGTCTGGCAAACCAGACTGGCCAGGAATGGGGAGACCCAGGCCAGGAGGAGGGGGAAGAGGAGGAGGAACACCTGGTGGGGGCTGCTGAGACCCCCGGAGTAGGGAGAAGGGGGACCCCTGGGATTCCTGGGACCCACAGCAGCCTGGAGAGGGGGAGACTCTGGGGAGGTGGGACCCCTGAGACCCCTCAGCACCCCAAAGCAAAGAGTCAGGGGAGAAGGGACCCCTGGGGCCTCCAAAACCCCCAACATCCCTAAGCAGGAGGACCCTGGAGGGGGGAAGTCCAGGATCCTCAGGAACCCAGAGAGGGCAGGGACCCTGGAGAGGGGGGTACTCCAATACATGTGGGACCTCTCCAGCAGCCCAAACAGGGGGGACCCCCAGAACCCCAAAGTGGAGAGACCTGAGTGGGGAACTCCTGGAAGGGTTTCTTTGGTCTGGATCTTGGAGTTCTGGGGGAGGGGGTTTTGGGGGGCTTTTGGTGTTTAGGAGGTTTTTATGGTCCCAGGATGCCCAGTGAGTTCTAGAGATGGACTTGGGCAGGAGGAACCCCCAAGCCAACGCACTCAGCCCTTGTTTGCCCCCAGCAGGATTTGTCCTTCCCAAAGCTTGGGCGAATGGAGGAGGAGGCTGCGAAGAAGAGCTCGAAGATGCCACGGGCTCCCCAGGCAGGTGAGGAGGAAGTCAGTGCCCCTTTGACCCTGTCTTGTGGTGCATCTGTTGAGCAGCCTCCCAGCAGGGAGAAGCCCTTCAGGTGCTTGGAATGTGGGAAGAGCTTCAGGGACAGCACCGACCTGATCCGACACCAGCGCATTCACACTGGGGAACGGCCCTACACGTGTAGGGAATGTGGGAAGAGCTTCAGGCAGAGCTCTGCCCTGATCAAACACCAACTCATCCACACTGGGGAGAGGGCCTACAAGTGCTTGGAATGTGGGAAGAGGTTTCAGACCAGCTCCAATCTCCTCCTGCATGAGCGGACACACACAGATGAGAGGCCCTTCCGCTGCACCGACTGCGGGAAGAGCTTCAACCAGAACAGCAACCTCATCACCCACCGGCGCATCCACACTGGGGAGAGACCCTACAAGTGTGGGGAGTGTGGGAAGAGCTTCACCCACAGCTCTACCTTGACCAAACACCAACGGACCCACCAGTAACAAGTGCCCCGACTGCAGGAAGAGCTTTGGCTGCTGCTCCCACCCCGAATGACCCCCCTGATGGTGAGGCAACCCCTGGAGTCCAGTGACTGTCAGTCCATCCCTTTCCAGTCCCCTTTGCCAGGGGCAGGTTGTGCCAACAGAACCCTTCTTGGGGGGTGTGTGGAGATTCCTGCCTTGACTGGGACCCCCCCAAGGTCACTGTTGGAGGTTGAGAGCAGAGATCTCCCCACGAGCGTTGGTCTGGGGGAGTTCCATCCCTGTCTAATTCATAATTCTTGTTTTGGTGCCAGCTTGAGGAATTGCTTCAACAATTGCTTTAGTGTAGAGCACTGTCCTATCTTACTTTGTCCTACTGGTAGTTTTAGTATTTCTATTGTACAGGAAATAATTCTGATGGTGATTATTTGTCTGATCATTTGTAACCCTAAATAATTCGTTTCTGTCAGTAAATGTGATTTGCCATCCTTAAGACCTGGGGGACAAAAGTGGTTCAGTCCCCCCTCTGTAATTCCTCTAAACTGAACCTGTTGGCATAACCCAAGGCTGAGATTGGATCCAGCAGCCCCAGCACCCCACAGGAAGTTGGGAGCTCAGGGTTCCAACCCCTTTCCCAGCCCCCCTGTACCCAAAGACCCCCATGGGACTGTTGAATCTGCCAGACCACCCCCACTTTTCCACCCTTCTCCCTGTTCCTTCCACTTTTGTGTAGTCCCTTCAATCCTCAGCCCCGCCCAGATCAGTTTTGGCGTCCCAACCCCCACATTTTTCCCTCCTCTTCTTCCACATCTTCCACCTTCCCCTTCCCATCCCCTGCTCACCCGAGAGCTTCTCCCCCACAGCCAGGGGGGCTCCCAGCACCACCAGTGCCCAGAGAAGCGCCCCCCCGAAAAGGGGTTGGGTGGGGTCCTGTGTGGAGTCTTCGTGTGTTTGGGGGTCCTTTAGGGGCTGTGGGGAGGTTTTGGGGGGTCCCAGCACCTTTTGGGGTGAACTGGGTGCCTATTGAGGGGCAGGTGCCTTCCCAAAGCTCCCCCAGAGTGGGGTGACATGGGGGGAACACAGGGGGGTCCCCATTCCTGATCCATCCCAGGGCCGGTGCTGCCCCCCCAAATTCGGCTCCACCCCTTGGGATTCTCCGACATCCCTCCCCAGTGCCCCCCAATAACAGGGACTGGGGAGAACTGGGAAACTGCCAACCAGTAAGCAGAACTGGGGCAACTGGGATCATACTGGGAGTGACTGCAATAATACTGGGAGTGTGTGGGAGGGACTGCAGCCATACTGGGGATGAGTGGGATCAAACTGGATTCGTACTGGAAGTGTCTGGAAGTTCCTGGGATCATACTGGGGGTGACTGCCATCCTACTGAGATCATACTGGGATCAGACTAGGATCATACTGGGAGCGACTGGTTCCATGCTAGGGGCAACTGGGAGCTCTTAGGATCCCACTGGGAGGAACTGGGAGCAACTGGGACCATGCTGGGACAACTGGGATCATACTGGGCACAACTGGGATCATACTGGGAGCTACTGGGCCCACAGTGAATGTGGCTGGGGTCATACTGGGAGTGACTGGGAACATTCTGAGGGCAGTTGGGACCATGATGACCCAACTGGGATATACTGGGAACAAGTGGAATCATGCTGGAGGTGACTGGGATCATACTGGGAGTGACTAGGACACAGCTGGGGGTGACTGGGTATGGCTGTGAGCAACTGGGATCATGCTGGAAGCTACTGGGAGCAACTGGGAGTGAGTGGGACCACACTGGGGGCAACTGGGATATACTGGGAGAGACCAGGAGTGACTGGGATCATACTGGGAATGACGGGGAGCATACTGGGAGTAACTGGAAGCAGGTTGAGGGCGACTGGGAGAGACTGGGAGTGACAGGGATCCTACTGGGAGGGACTGGAACTGTAGTGGGTGAGTGGGAGCAAGTGGGACCCTGCTGGGGGCAAATGGCTTTATACTGGGAGTGGCAGGGAATGTCTGGGTTCATCCTGGCTGTGACTGCCACCATAGAGGGTGTCACTGGGATCATACTGGAGTCATACTGGGAAGGACTGGAACTACAGTGGGGTGACTGGCAGCAACTGGGAACATGCAGGGAGTAACTTGGATTGTACTAGAAGAGACTGGGATCATACTGGGACTGACTGGGAGCATACTGGAGGCAACTGGGCCATACTGGGAGTGGCTGGGAGTGATGGGGATAATTGTGGGAGTGACTGGAACCATAGTAGGGGTGAAGGGGAGCAACTGGAACCATGGTGAGGGCAACTGGGATCATAGTGGGAGCAGCTGGGCTCCCACGGGGGTCCTGTTGGGGTCTTACTGGGAGTGACTGCAATAATACTGGGAGTGTGTGGGAGGGACTGCAGCCATACTGGGGATGAGTGGGATCAAACTGTCTTTGTACTGGAAGTGTCTGGAAGTTCCTGGGATCATACTGGAGGTGACTGGACTCATACTGGGATTATACTGGGATAAACTGGGACCATGCAGGGGCAAATGGCATAGTCCCGGCAGAGACTGACAGTACCTGGGGCCATACTGGACTCAGACTGGGAGTCCCTGAGAGGGAAAGGAACCATCCTGGAGGAGTCTGGGAGCAACTGGGACCACGTTCGGGACAACTGGGACCCTATTGGGAGTGACTGGGATCAAAGTGAGAGTGACCAGCGCCATACTGGAATCATAGTGGGAGTGAGTGTAAAGGGCCAGGATCAAACTGGGAGTTACTGGAACTATGCAGGGGGGAACTGGGAGCCAGTGGGGCCGTGCTGGAAGTCAACTAGGAACATTCTTGGAGCAACTGGGATCATGCTGGAAGCAACTGGGAGTAACTGGGAGTGG